AGGCGCAGCATTCTAAGGGATTGGGACTGGGTCAATTTCGTTCTGAATCCAGGATCCTGAATGAGTGCCTCGAGATGTAGTCAGGCTCAGCGATAGCACACTGAAAGATTGGTGTTTTTTATTGTTGATTGAGAGGAGGCATACACAAGTGCGAGCGAAAGCATGAGATTTTCAAGCAGGTGCCGGAATCCGTGGGATTCGGGATATTTCTGAACGGAAGCATGAAATATCCAAGCAGGCACAGCACTCCGAGGATTGAGTATACTTCTTTTGGATTGAATGAAGGCATGAAATTTTCAAGCAGGCACAGCACTCCGAGGATTGAGTATACTTCTTTTGGATTGAACAAAGGCGTGATATTTTCAAGCAGGCACAGCACTCCGAGGATCGAGTATACTTCTTTTGGATTGAACGAAGGCGTGAAATATTCAAGCAGACGCAGCACTCTGAGGGATTGAGTATACTTCTTTTGGATTGAACAAAGGCGTGATATTTTCAAGCAGGCGCAGCACTCCAAGGATTGAGTACACTTCTTTTGGATTGAACAAAGGCGTGAAATATTCAAGCAGGCGCAGCACTCCGAGGGATTGAGTATACTTCTTTTGGATTGAACGAAGGCGTGAAATTTTCAGGCAGGCGCAGCACTTCGATGGATTGAGGATATTGTTTTTGGGGACAACTCGGTAATTGAAATTGAAGTTGTCCATGTTCAATTATATATAAAAAAGGCCGGAGGCCAGACGAGTTTTGCCATGCGCCAGCAATGGCCCGCAAGCCCAAGTTACAGGATAACCCTTGCGAGCCACATCCTTCTCAAGCGTAAAGTCCTGGAATGCGTGGCTAACCACCAGGTCATAGAGAGTGAAGCCCAGCCACGAATCGATCAGAATTGAGCTGAGAAATGATGAGAATCAAGACACAAAACCACATAATTTTCCAAAAATAAAAGAGAACATCTCCCTATCTGCCTCCTCTGGCATCGAACTCAACGTCGCAGGCGAGCTTCCAGCCGTGCTCGCCGGCACAGACGAGAAATCCGACCACAGGCATGCGGGGGTCGGCATCGGCGAGGATGATGCGGACGATGCGAGCGGGGTGGCGGCCACTGGCTATGCCATGGGGCAAGCGAGGGGACATTTAATTCTTTTACTTTTACTTTAGTCTTGGTTTGTGTCTTTTACTTCGGTCTTAGTCGCGCGGTGCAAAGCAAAAGCAAGTGGCACAGAAAACAAGAGACAAGAGAGGAAACAAGAGAAAAGGAGAGAGGAGAGACTTTTCAGGACGCGCCTACTGCCCTGCACACGCCACGTCACAAAGGCTGTGTCTGTGACGTGACTTTTACTAGAGCCTGTTTCGTTTCGGGGTGACCCCAAATCGCTAACCCCTGATCGTTAACCCCTAACCGCCAACTATAACTATTGCCTACAAGTTGAAACTTGATTATGTGTGGAGACAGGGAATGTTGAACCAAAATTAATACGGTTGCTAACGTGTGGTTTTCTTCAGGGATGGTCCGCCACATAGCAGCAGACACGCAGGTGGCGGCTGAGTGAATTGAATAAGTGGACAGATCAACAGTAAAAACGGGTAGATTATGGATGGAAAGATCGGCGAGTGGCGCTAACGGGAGGGTCGATGAGAGCAGACGGTGGGCGGGTAGGTATTCGATACAGCGTGGGTAGCGTGCGAGGGTCAGCCTCTTTCCGCCAAATAATCTTTCATTGGGGAGGAGGAGGAGGATTGCCTGTGCGGTGCCAAGAGACGTAAATCGGGTCCTTGAACCTGACAGCGGGCTGTGCCGATTTTTATCGTTATACTGATTCTTACCCATTCCTAGTGTTGTTCCCAACGTTGTAGCGCAGTGATAGCAATCGGGCTTTTACTAAATTACCCCAAAATCTCTGTTCGCTTTAGCGCCTGACTGTGGATCGCATAAAAGTAAAGGTCGTCCGATAGCAGGACATCCACCCCGCCCAACAAGACGCCGAAATGAAACTCGCTCTCTCTCTCCTCACTCTCGCCGCGTCGGGGATCCTCGGTGTTCTTGGCTCGCCAGCCCTCCAAACGTCCAACGTAACCACCCATCCCGTGGACGGCTTCACCCCATTCGACGTTCCCGAGTCGGTCGACGCACCGGCCCCCTTGGTCCCGCCCACAAGGACGCCGCGCCCGTGGTCGCTGCAAGCCTTGCTGCAAGCACCCATTATTGGGTCTGCGTCGCAGTATCCACCTCGAGTGGCCACTACGGGTGGTCCCGAGGCGGCTCAGAGTCCTCCGCCCTCCAAAATGCGAAGAAGCAATGCGGGAAGAGCGATTGCAAGTCCTACTCGTGCATAGAGGAGGGCTGTGTTGGCATCGACTTCGGCTCGACGTACGTGGCGCTGTCGTATGCGCGCGGGTATGGGAAAAACGATGGCAGCAAGGCGGCCAGTACAGCGTTGTCGACGTGCAAGAAGAAAAGTAAGGGGTGTGCTAAGGCGGGGTATTTCTGCGCTGCGCGGATATACTAGGTGAGCTCAGTCATTCCTCGTGGGGGAATTTACCGCGATCGCTTACTTTGTTTTGCCGACATCTAGAGAGCGCGCGGGTTGACGGGTCAGATGGGAGGGGGACCATTAAATTTAGTGGATGCTCAGCAAGATGCCTGGAATGGATCGAAGATGACGCATAAATGAGGACCTTCACGCGCCGTGCATTAGTTGAATGTCTTCAGAGTCTGTTGAACTTTGCTTCATTTCGGTGTTTCGTAGTTGTTCTCCAAGCGCATGCTTGGTATTCGAGATTTCCTCCTTCCATTTTTTCCCATGTACTATTGAAATCAATTCGTCAAGGGGTGTGACGCGTGCCCCAAAGTTCCAATTCGTCAACTCGTCAAGGGAGCGCGAGCTGCGAGGACAACAACAACGCGGTGGGCATGGACGTCCGTGAGTCTCATATTGTCCGTTCTGGTATGGGTCTCCCTGCGTTGCGATCGACAGACGTTCGCCTTACAGTTGTTCAATACTATAAATGATAATTCGTTACTGGCGTCGGTCACATCTCATTCAGGCCAACCCAACATCAAAGTCTGCCGCCATGCCTCGTTCCCGTCCGACACCTCGTCTATATTTAGCAAGATAATCAACGGAAAAACCGCGCAGTGGTTCGCTGATGTTGCAGAAATTTTGAAGATAGGAGCGTCAGTGGTACATTTGAATCTCGCAGATCAGAAATTCAGGGAGAGAAAAAAAAAACGCAAATTTTCCTGCACATGGCTCGAGCCCAAGTCGAACGGGCTGCTCCTCCAGAAACCTAGGCCACCCTTACTTTACAATGAGTGCAGCTGTGGACCATCCACCACCGAGCCTTTCTCAGCCCACTTATCAGCTTGAATGTATGCAAGAAATTTGAAGTAAAAAAATGGTTCCATTTAGTGTTCAAGTCATCCACACCTTGGTTGTGTTCCTGTTCCAGGATCATTACTGCGAAAAAGTGTGCTTCGGCCTGTGTGTGTTGCGTCGATTTCACCGACAATAACGTGGGAATTCCCAGGCATGGTTCGGGCCCGAGTCGAACGGGCTTGTCTTGCATACAGATTCCTCGCCATTGCATGGAGTGCAGGTGTGGACTCCCCACCATCGAGCCTTGCATCACCTACTCAACACTGTCAACATGTCCATATGGAAAATCGAGGATGAACCAGACCAAAAACATCTCCAAGCTCGTTCGGTCATGTACGAGAAGATCTGAACCATGGTTGAAAATTTTAATAGGAGGGTGGTACAGCTTCTGAATCTCGCAGATCAGAAATTCAGAGAGAGACAGACTCAGAGAGAGAGAAAATGCAACATTCCTTCATATGGCTCGGTCCCGAGTCGAACGGGCTCTCCTGCAGACAATCCAAGTCCACGAAGAAGCATACAAGTTATTGCGGGTGTGGACAATCCACCACCGAGCCGATATTCCTCTACTTTTTATAAAATCTTGACAGTTGGATGGCCCATCTCGCAGATTAGAAATTGAGAGAGAGAATCAAAAAAAATTAGACCTATGGCTCGGGCCCGAGTCGAACAGGATACTCCTACAGACAGTTCTGCAGCCTGTTATGTATTGTAAGTGTGGACCATCCACCACCGAACCGAGATGTTTCCACTTATGACCTCAATTATGATTGAATATGCCGGGGGTTGAATCAGTCCAAATGTCCATGATCTGGTTTGGTACAAAAGAAGCTGAAATATCGAGGATTTTTGAACTGGTTCAATCCCTTCACTGGGTTGGTTGAAATGAATTACGGTGTTGGTGGCCATGGGTTGCACGAATCATCATTTGTGTTTGAGAACCCAAAAAGTTCGCAAAAGATTTGATTTGCATGTATATGGCTCGGGCCCGAGTCGAACAAGCTACTCCTACAAACAATTTTGTAAACCAACCATAGATTGTAGGTGTGGACCATCCACCACCGAGCCATCCTCCACCTACTTTTAACCTTGAGTTTATTCATCCAAAAATCGCAATTGGTGTTTGTACATACTCGTGCTCACAGCACGCTACAAATCACCAATAAGCGCTTAAAAATATACATACACTGATACCCTGCGTGGATTATTTGTTATTCGAATTTAGAGAGACGCCGTATCGATCGCACCATGGATAGTAGAGACGAGCAGGGTAATAACCGCAAAAAAATGATGGTCCCTCAACATGGCTCGGGCCTGGTTCGAACAGGCGACTTCCGCAACGGAGAATAATCAGCTGACAGCAGTATCGTAAGCGAATGCATTACCACTCTGCCACCGAGCCGTGATGAAGAAGGGTAGTGACATGGGAATCCGAAGCTCTCGTTCGGGATACCGGCGGGACTGTGCGGTGTAATGCTACTTACCTACCTACCCAGAACCAAATAATGAACAGAATAATGCACCAGTGAAATAGATGGAGCGTCGAGGAACGAAGGGAAAGGAGGGAAATCCCCACCGAACACAAAAAGTGCCAAGCCAAAAAGCAACAGAAAATATTCATGGCTCGGGCCTGGTTCGAACAGGCAATCTCCGCAGAAGCAATCTTCGTATATATATCTCTAAAAGCAGCGGACGCATTACCACTCTGCCACCGAGCCGTAATGAACAAAGACAGTGACATGGGAATATGAAGCAATAGGGGAGAAGTGTTATTCCGGGAGAGAATGAATTCAATTAAAAGAATAACGCATTAGTGAATGGATGCAGCTGCAGGCATCGAGCGATATGGTATGAGAGGGAAGGAAATTTAAACGAACAAAAAGTGTTGGCAGATCGATGCAAAACATCCAGAACTGTCAAATGGCTCGAGCCTGGTTCGAACAGGCGACCTCCGCAGGAGCCATAATTGGCTTCTACAAGACGCGGGTGCATTACTCTGCCATCGAGCCTTTGACAAGGAGATTAGCTAAAGGCTAAAGCCGAAGCCGGTTGAACCGACAACCCCGAAGCGAGACACGGCTCCAAAATCACGTCACAGACACCGCCTTTGTGGTGGCGTGCAGTGTAGGGCCGGGCCAGTCGCGTCCTGACAAATCTCTCCTTTTCTCTTGTTTTTCTTTGCCACTTGCACCGCGACTAAAGACTAGAGTCACAAACACTTGGTTGCGAGCGAAGCGAAGCAATCTACCCTAACCACACGTGATGAGGCAGAGGGATAGATTATGCAGTAAACAACAGCAAACTTAAATGGGCGCGGCTGACGGTCCTTCAGAGAAAGAATGGCCTCAAAAACGTTCAAATCTGGGTCGATCTCCATGGGAATAGCACCAAATGATGCGCTTTCATGGCGCGGTTCGATTGGTACCGAAATCAGGCCCAACAACGAGGGGAAAAAATTGTGTCTGAAAAGGGGATATGATCGGCAAGGCGGAACTAATTATGCGCACAGCAATGTCTTCTTCGCGAGCACCAAGCGCTTCAGCGGATCCCTAGTACTTTAACTTAGAGCTTCGCCACCATGTCAGCCTCTCCCACGTCGCTGGGCGTCGGCACGCCCTTCGCCTCGTCCGCGTCGTCCCCGCGCCTGTGGTCGGATTTCTCGTCCGTCCCGGTGAGCACGACTGCGAGCTCGCCTGCGCCTGAAGACGATGGAGAGAACGAGATGAAGGTGTGTCTCTCTTTTGGGAAAGTGTTTGTGGCGTGTACTAAAGGAAGGCGCGCAGGACGTGGACGCGAACACGAATCTCGCGGAAGACGGGGATGAGGAGACTCCGTTTTTACGCGCGGTGTGCTCGTCTCGGACGCGTCCTCCTCACCCCTTGCTGAAAACCAAGACACGTCCTCCTCACCTCCCGATGCACCCTCCCGCCGACCCAGTCTCCATCGGACAAGAAGGAGAACTCACCGCCTCCCAGCTCTCCCGCTCGAGCGCATCTATAGCACTATCCTGAAGTAGCAGATGGACTAACGTGCATTTTAGCGAGATAAAGCCAAGACGTCGGCACTCATATGGTGGATTTCTTTGGCCTCTGCTGGTAAGATGTCACGAACTCCTTTATATTTTATGCTGAGACATTGGCAAAGATATATCTATCGCCGGGCGTTCTCATTTTGAAGTTACATACATCGAAGACGGCTTTCAAAGGAACCCAAAAGTAAGCAACATGTACTACTAGTATGTATGGCCTGACTCTGATTTCCGCAGTCTAATTCAACGACTCATTATTCAGACAATCCAAACTCAGTCCACAACAAGCGTCGTCTCTATCGTCACCTTCATTTCATATATCATCAAGAACGACAGGAATGGTGCGATTCCTAGTTCCTTGACTGTCGGCGTATCGCTCACCGTGCGCAGTACCGACGGTGTGCTGCTACTTTGTTGGGCCCCATACCTTTTGACGCTTTTTTTTACAACCTCAACCGCCGCCAGTACGGTGAGGTCAATGGGTCGCGAATTTCATCGGAGGGTAACGACAATGCGGTGCGAATGTATATCCGTGAGTCTTATTGTCTGTACCGGTATGGGTCTCATTGCATTGGTTGAAGAAGTCCACCGTCCGGCTCTCGTGACGGTGGACCACCCAAATACAAATTTCCCGCGCATGGTCGAGGTGAGCACTGTACGACATTGTTACCGTATTTACCGCGCTGTTCCATTGCATGGACCCACACCTCCAAAGTCCGATATTGGTTGGTCCACCCGTGGAAGTGGATACTGCATTTAGGTCGACGTCGCACGATATTCGGGGGCGTTAATGTGGTTTAATATTTATTATAAATGATAATCCGTTTTTTGGCGTCGATCACATCTCACTTAAGCTAACCCAACATCAAAGTCTGCGCCCACGCCTCGACACGTTAACGACGAGGCGCTATCGAGAAGCCAATTATGGCACCAGCCAGGGCACAGGGCGGTAATTTCGCTGGACCTTCTGTATCAAGCAGTCTACAACTACTCTTAAAAGGACTAACCTGCCACGAGCTCCCGTTCAAGTCATTCGCAACATTGGGTGTGCACTGTGCTCATGTCCCACGGATCATTGCTGCAAAAAATCAAGAAGAAAATGTGTTTTGGCCGGTGGGTGTTGAGTCGATTTTGCTGATGAAAAAGCGATCTCATCACCCCGGTTATGGCTCGGGCCCGAATCGAACGAGCTCTCCGCTGGAAATCTCGGGTTCCATGTCAATGAATGCAGTGTGGACCATTCATCCACCCGCCAAGCACCTATCTGTATAGAAACTTGAGACTGTAAGCATCTTCAAGCTCTTTCAGCAACGTACGGAGTTTACTTGGAGCGATGGTTGAAATTTTCAATGTGAGAGGGCGTGACAGTTGGGTTGCTCAGAAATTTAGCGACAGAAAAAAATGCGACGTTCCAACATATGGGGCGGGCCTGAGTCGAACGGGCTCTCCTACAAACAATTCTCCAACCCATGATGCATTGTGGGTGTGGACCTTCCACCACCGAGCCTTATCCTCATTCCCCTTGAATGTATGCGAAGAAATTCGAACTCAAAAAACTGGTTATTCTCATCCACAATCATCTTGGTTGTGTCCATGTCTCCAAGATCATTGCTGCGAAAATCAAAGAAAAAGTGTGCTTCGGCCAGTGGGTGTTGAGTCGATTTTGGTGATGAAAAAGTGAATCCCCCTCCCCGGTCATGGCCTCGGGCCCGAGTCGAACGAGCTTGTCCTGCTCACAGTTTGCCCTTCACCGCATGGAGTGCACGTGTGGACCATCCACCACCGAGCCGATGTCTTGTGGCCGCGAATATAAGTATTTGAAACATCCCAAGTGTGAAATCAGTCCCAAATTCCTCGAACTGGTTCGGTAAGAAGTAAAGTTGCTGCCATGGTTGAAATTTTGAAGATACGAGTGACAGTAATTGAGAGAGGAAAAAATTCAACCCTTTCTGCACATGGCTCGGGCCCGAGTCGAACGGGCTATTCCTACAGACAATCATTCAAATTCCCTTATGTGTTGCAGGTGTAGACCATCCACCACCGAGCGGATATCTGTCCACTTGTGTCCTCAAATATATCTGTTGTACTAGTCCCAAAATCCACGACCTGGTTCGGCAACAACCAAAGTAAGGTGTAACCATGGTTGAAATTTTGAAGATACGAGTGACAGTTGCATTGCTCATCTCATACATTAGAAATTGAGGGAGAACGAATGAAATGGATGCCAGGCAGCCAGTGGGGCATCGAGGACTCAACCGAAGAAAGGGAGGAAATCCCCACCGAACACAAAAGTGCCAAGCCAAAAAGCAACAGAAAATATTCATGGCTCGGACCTGGTTCGAACAGGCAATCTCCGCAGAAGCAATCTTCATTTACACCTAAAAACAGCGGACGCATTACCACTCTGCCACCGAGCCGCGATGAAGAAGACAGTGACATGGGAATATGAAGCAATAGAGGGAGAAGTGTTATTCCGGGAGAGAATGAATTCAGTCAAAAGAATAACGTATTAGTGAATGGATGCAGCTGCTAGTCTAGTTGTTACCGCGGGGGTCTGATCGTGTAGCTGCGTTATTATGTAATATCATGTAAGCAGAATCCGAGTCGCGCAAAGGGGGCTTCAGGCACGCGTTATTTGTCGAAATTCTTGGATAATATCGGCGTAGCTTGCCGCAGCTACATTTCTGTCAACTCAGATTTGTGATTTAGGTCCTTGAAATCTTGTTTCAGAATTGACGCCATCAATCGGCCGAAGTCCGAATAATGCCAGATTCCCGGATTTGGCCCCAAAGTCATGGAAAATTGGGGTATATGGCTGTAGGATATTATTGCATACTACAGGGGTTCTCTATGACCCGATTAGCATTGAGGGATTAAAAAATGGCGAAAAAATAAATAATGTTCGCGCCCGGGCTCGAACCACGGCCACTGCGGCTTACATGAGATCACGTAATAACGCAGCTACACGATCAGACCCCCGCGGTAAGAAACAGACTCTATATAGCGAGGTACGAGCTGGAGTATATAGAGCGTCTGTCTACGAGAGACTATGCAGCTGCAGGCATCGAGCGACGTGGTATGGGAGGGAAGGAAATTTAAACCGAACAAAAAGTGTTGTCCGAAATGGCTCGAGCCTGGTTCGAACAGGCGAACTCCGCAGAAACCACAAGGAGCCTCAAGATCAAAGGATATGGACGCATTACCACTCTGCCATCGAGCCGTTGACAGCTAAAAGCTAAACCCGAAACCCGAAACCGACAACCCCGAAACGAGACAGGGGCTCTTATAAATCACGTCACAGACACCGCCTTTGTGACGTGGCGTGTGCAGTGTAGGGCCGGGCCAGGCGCGTCCTGACAAATCTCTCCTTTTCTCTTGTTTTCTTGTTTCCTCACTTGCTTTTACTTGCGCCGCGACTAAAGACTAGAGTCAAAGACACAAATACTTAGAGTGTAAAGCTTCGCCATGTCAGCCTCCCCCACGTCGCTGGGCGTCGGAACGCCCTTTGCGTCGTCCGCGTCGTCCTCGCCGATGCCCGTGCGCCTGTGGTCGGATTTCTCGTCCGTGCCTGCGAGCACGGCTGCGAGCTCGCCTGCGCCTGAAGACGACGGAGAGAACGAGATGAAGGTGTGTCTCCTTTTTTTTTTAAAAAAAAAAAAACTGTGGCGCGTACTGAAGGACGACGCGCAGGACGTGGACGCGAACGCGAACGCGAATGTAGAAGGAGAGACCCCGTTCTTACGCGGCGTCCCCGTCTCTGTCTCTCCCGCCAAATTCAAATCCGAGGAGGAAGACGCGTCCTCCTCCCCCTCACCTCTCGACGACCCCGCCCAAATCGAAATCGAACAAGAACAAGAAGCCGAAATCGAACAAGAAGGCGAACTCACCGCAACCCAGCTCTCCCGCCTCGAGCACGTGCTCGAGCGCAGCGCGCTCTACAGCACGATCCTGAAGCAGCAGATGGACGACGCGCGCGCGAGGCATGCGGAGGAGCGGCGGGTTGCGTCTCAAAAACAAATTTCTAAAAAACAATCCCCGAAGAAACGCGGGAAGGGCCGTCCGGCGAAACGCCGGCGGACTGTGGAGGACTCGGATGACGAGGAGTCTTTGCCCCTACAAAGTGCAAGTAACGAAGCCGGAGAAGACGCAAAGGAAGAGCCCGCCTTCCCCCAACCCGCGCTCGTCTCCGGCGCCACGCTGAAAGACTACCAGCTCGAGGGCCTGCAGTGGATGGTGGGGCTGCATGAGCAGGGGATTAGTGGGATTTTGGGTGCGTTTCTGGTTTCTTCGGTCTTCCAATTTTTTCGATGTGTTATACGTGTTTTTTGTTTGGGGGGAGTGGGGAAAGTCGGTGGCGGTCGAGGCGTTTTTGGGGGGTTTAATACGCGTGCGCGTTTTGAGCCGTGGCGCGAGCTTTTATTTTTGGCCGTTTATTTCATTTTTCTCTTCACCCTTCACCCTTCCCTCTCCTTCTCGCTTCCCTCCCTCCCTCCTTCCCTCCTACTCAAGCTAATACTCTCGCAGCCGACGAGATGGGCCTCGGCAAAACCCTCCAAACCATCGCCTTCGCCGCGCACCTCCGCGCCACCGGCACCCGCCCCTTCCTCGTCGTGTGCCCGCTCAGCGTGCTGCATAATTGGGTGGAGGAGTTTCGGAGGTTTGCGCCGGGGGTGAGTCGTTTCTCTTGCATTACTCGCGTCTCCCCACTCCTCGTATCATATCGTATTATTACGACCCCGCACCCCACCTTCCCCACCTCCCTCCCTCTTCCTCTTCCGACCCGACCCGTGTCCCCCCGTCTCCCCAACCTCTTCCCCCATCCTCTAAAACGATCACACTGACACTCCGCCTACAGATCCCCGTCCTGATGTACCACGGCACCCCCGCCGAGCGCGCCGAGATGCGGCGCACGGCGCTCCCCCTGCCCGAGGGGTGGCCTCCTGCTTCCTCTTCTTCCTCTACTTCAGCCTCTCACTCTAAATCTACTTCCGCCAAAAACACGTCTGGAAGCGGAAACGGAAACGGAAAAGGAAGGGGCAGGCCGAAAGGCGCAAAAGGAAAAGGAGGGAAGGACACCTCAAGCAGTAAGGCGGGGAGCAGCAAAGCGTCGACCTCCAAACCCGTCCCCGCCGCCGCGGCGGCGCCAGCCTCGCCCGCGAGACGGAGCGGGCGCACGAGTTCTGTGCGTGCTGTGCCGCCGTCTCCGGCTTCGCCCGCGCGTGGGTCGACTAGAGGGCGTGGCGGCAATCAAAGAGGGAGAGGAGGACGCGGAGGAGGAGGGAGAGGGGGAGGGGGAACCGTGCGCGCGGGACTCAAGCGGAAGCGCGTGGAGGATGAAGACGAGGATGAGGATGAGGAGGGTGGGTACCGCTGCCGCCTTCGTCGTCGACGCGATGCTGATATTTTTTATTGTAGACGGCGAGGACGAGGAGCAAGACCATGACGAAGGCGAGTCCCTCCCCCTCCTCCTCTTTACTTGCCCTAACGCTCCCTTATACAGAGGCTGACGAAGACGACGACGGGAAGCCCCTCACCAAGGCGCAGATCGCCGCGAAGAAGCTCGAAAAGGCGCACGACGCGCACTTTGCGGCGTTCCCTGTCGTGATTACGACGTATGATTTGATTATTAGGGATAGGCCGGTGTTGGGCGGGGTGCCGTGGGGGTGAGTGTTAGAACTAGCTGCTCAGTTTCGTTGCCCGCTCCTCGACTCGGGCTCTTCCTACCGTTCTCCCCAACTCCAGACCATCCCTGCTCTTCCCCACCTTATCTTTCCTGCGCCTTCCTTCCCTTCCCTCTACTCCCTCCTCTCCTTTCCCTCCCCCTCCCCCCATCTGTCCCCCCTTCTCTCCCATTCCTTTACTCATACACCCTCACAGATACATCGTCGTCGACGAGGGCCACCGCCTCAAGAACATGCACTGCGCGCTGATGCGCGAGGTGAAGCGCTACACGAGCGCGGGGCGCATGGTGCTGACCGGGACGCCGTTGCATGTAGGTTTTTTATTGCCCTTTCTTTCGTTTTTGGGCGGCGTTTTTGGCTCGAGTTCGTTGTTTGGTCTACATCCTTGCGTGTCTGTGCTTGGGCTTGGGCTTGTACCTCCCGGTGTGCCCTGGCGGGGTGGCGGCGGCAGGGGCGTCTTTGACTCTCGGCCCACGTTAATGATGGTACTGCTCAGTGCCAGCGCGCCCGTGTAGGATCTGCATGACGTGGACGGCCTCATCATGATTTCTTCTCCTCTGCCGCTTCCCGCTTAAATAAACGCTGACATCCTCCCACAGAACAACCTCGCGGAGCTCTGGTCGCTGCTCAATTTCATCCTGCCGGACATCTTCGACGACGTGGATGCGTTTCAGGAGTGGTACGTCTATGTTTTTTTCTCCGCCCGTTCTTCCTCTGCGTACGCCGAGTTCCGACCTACACCGTTCTCCCGCGCACATCGACTCGTCGTTCCTGCCCCTCTTTCGTACTCCTCCGTGCACGCGTCGAGTCATTCCTGCGTCCCTCCCTCACTCCCACCCCATCCCCTTCTCCAGCTCACCTCCCTCTTTCACTTACACTCCCACGCCCAATGCTCACATCGTCCTCAGGTTCTCCCTCCCCCGCATGTCCGCGCTTCTCCCCTCCGCGCGCATGGGCACGTTCATCAGCACGCTGCACACGATCCTCAAGCCGTTTTTGCTGAGACGGATGAAGGCGGATGTGTTGGGTGCGTTCTTTGTCTGCTTCGCTTTCTGTCTTTGTCGATCTTTTGGGGTGGCGTGGCTTTTCTACTTTCATGTTCTTTTGGCGCGATCTCCGTCTCTTTGACGGGGTTTTGGAGGGTTTGGGGCTTCGCAGGCTTTTAGGGGAAACGAGCCTGATTTCCTTTTTGGGACGCGCCGTTTTCAAGAGCCCACTCAATCCCCATTTTCGAGAGCGAGATACTTCCTCTCCAGCCGGCGCGGGCGGATGTGCGGAGCCATGTGCAGACTCGGGTGCGCATACACCCCATGGCTAGTCACGGCTGCAGGATGTGCAGGAGGACGTGTCAACTCACGGCGCCCTCTTTCCTGCTTAGGGTGTATTGTTCTCCCGCCTCCGCCGACGGGCCTTCGGCTCGGTTGCGATTGGGCTGGTGTCAAGGCGAAGGCAGACGTGTCTCGCTGCAAAAACGTCGCGGCGACGTGGGTCCGATGATACCCCGCCGCTCTGCTTCTTGTCTATATATCCGTCTACTTCATCCACCGTCCACCTCCCCCTCTCTCTTTTCCACTTTATCTTAACTGTCCTCCTATCTCTGGAATACGATGAGCTGACAGCGATGTTACGACAGGCTCCGCGCTCCCGCCGAAGAAGAGCTACGTGCTGTATGCGCGGCTGAGCACGCGGCAGCGGGAGGCGTACGAGGCGGTGCTGGCGGGCGACGTAAGGGCGTGGGTGGCGGGCGGGGCGGGGGCGGCGTCTTCCTCTGCCTTCACCTCCACGACAGCCTCGAGCTCAGCGGCGGCTTCGGCATCTGCAAGCGCGCCAGTCTCCGACCGGGCTGCGGCAGATGGCATGAAGGACGAAGACAATGAGGAAGACGCAGGGCGCACCCTGCGCGCACGGAGGCGGCGCGGAAAGGGGAAGGACAAGGAGCAGGACGCGGAGGAGGAGGAGGAAGAACGAAGGAAGGCGGCGGAGGCGTTTGCGAGGCGGGGGGCTGGTGAGTTTTTTGTTGATTCTTTTTATCGCACCATCTCCCATACTGGCCTCTATGCACGCGCACCCCGACCGTCGTCTCTACTTCTGCTATGCCTTCCTCCTCATCGTCGTGCTAGTACTCTTCCCCTTTACTCCCCTTCCGCTCCGCGCTCTACACGTCGCCCGCCTTCCTTCTTCCTTCTGCTCTTTCTCGCTCCCTTCTCTCTGTGTGCTAACACCCGCCCCAGCGAAGCACGTCAACAACATGAAGCTGCAGAACACGGTCATGCAGCTGCGCAAGGTGTGCTCGCATCCGTTCCTCTTTGCGCGTCCGGACGACGACAAGTGGGCTCTTGGTACGTCTTTCCTTTCATTATCTGGGCCTTCGCGAGTGCTAACGGATACTCGTCTTTCCCTCCCTTCTTATGACACCTTGCTTGCTTTGACGAATTCGCCTACTCTCGACAATGACCGTCGCTCTTCGCCGGCCTGGTGATGCTCGCACCTGACGACGCTCGCTCACTGGACGGCCATGCTCTTGCGTCCGCCAGGCCGC